GGGAAGTCCACAGACGGGAGGTGCGAGACAAGAAGCTATTGGAAGTAGAAGAGACGGCCACATTTAACTATTTCGACAGTGAAAGGGTGAGATCGAGTTGCTAGCCTAGTTGCACGTTTAAATTAATGCAGTTCGGGAACTAGCGAAAGTAGCTCGCCAAAACAGTGACCGTGAAAACATTTGTAGAAAAGACAGAGGCGACGATGTATCTGCGACAAAGCGACTATAAACGATATGCCAGATCAGGGTCAATTACATTGCATATCCGTCTTTGGATTTTGTCAAGGACCTTAAGACGAACAGCGGAGGTTCCAGACAATATATAATTTTTTCTCTGTATTAACAAGACATTAACCTCTTTCCTGTGAATCAGTTTTAATATTTTAGATTACTAGGACTGTGTCTTATCAAGTGATGGATTTGAAAATAAAACAACATCAACATCATCACTTGATAAGACACAGAGTGTGTTGAAACAAAATGGCTAATTTTGTAGTGATTTTATAACATACTTATGTTATAATTTTTTTTTTTTATAAAAAATAATTATATCTGCTCTACTTTGTATTGAGCACACTTTTAAGAATAGTAATTATTGGTTATTGGAATTCATTCCGTATATACCAATTATATACTTTATATATATATATATATATATATATATATATATATATATATATATAATTATTCACTTGTATACCTTGCTAGACTCAACTAATGCTCTGCGATGGAGCGTCTAAGGGTCAAAAAGCAGACGTGGCTCTTGCGGGCACTGTTCCGAGGTTATCTGAATATTTGGATAAGTATCGCTGCGGAACTGAGTGAGTAGCGGCGCTATATCGAGTCTAGTTTGTGTCTTCTTCGTCACCGAGGTCCGTGGTACAGTTGGTATGACGTTTGCGTTGTATCGAAAACGGTCCGGGTTCTGGTGTGTCCAAGATAGGACGAACGGCCGTCCAGTGCTTTCTGCGTTATGTTGAGGATTCTTCTAGGCTCGACGAATCACTCTAAAATATATATATATATATATATATGTATATATATATATATATATATATATATATATATATATACACACACATATATATATATATATATATATATATATATATATATATATATATATATATATATATATATATATATAAACATTAAAGAGAAACAGAACACTTTAAGGCTGCATTGAAATAATTTATTCCACCAGAGACCGTTTAAAATATTCTGGATCTTCAGACATCACTTTATACCAAGTTTTTCGTTACTTAAATATATGTATATATATACATACATATATATATATATTTTAATAATAGCAGATATTCACAAAACATCTTTCGGTCGACATACAGGTATATCGTCTCAAGTTTTTGATTTTATAAGGCAAAAAAAACACATGCCTGATGATGAATAGAAGACTATTCGTAAGTACTAGCATTTTAACCTCAAATAAACTGAAAAACTACAGACAACAAGTTTTTCGTCAAGGATCAAAACTCGCACTATGGATGAACAGGATTTTAATGCATATATGATGTTTTCTAGCGATGGATGTCGCCAATAATCGCATTAATACTTCTGATTAATTCTATGTGTGATTATTCTTTGTATATATATATATATATATATATATATATATATATATGTTTGTGTGTGTGTGTGTTGCCTAATCAGACGCTTGATGGTAAGATGTAATTCATCAAGGGAGGCGATCTTTTCCAAGATCATCATCAGAGGTAAATTACAAGGACAAACTGATTGGAGCTGCGACAAGATCTGCATTCTGTTGTGAAGGTAATTTGTAAAAACACGCGCGAACAGCCTCTGTAATTATGTCAACATTTTAAATTTATCCGGTAGAGTCATGTATGTGTTTTATTTTTATTTATTTATTTATTTTTTTAAACAAGCAATTCAACCTAAGGGTGCTGACTGGAAATTGGTAGAAATGTAAAATTACATCAAATGTTATGCGCACTTTAATATGTTGTTGCTATATTTTGACGAAATTAATTGTGTTAACGAGAGCTACAGCCCCCTCCTTGATGAATTTTATCTTAACATCAAGAAACTGATTAGACATCATCGAGGTTCAGTATAAAAAATAAGTAAACAAAATATGTATATATCATTTAATGCAGCATATATATATATATATATATATATATATATATATATATATATATATATATATATATATATATATATAATTTGTTTGAATAAAAAACAGACGACTTTTAGGTTCCATTTAATAAATTATTTCATCAGAGCCCTATTAGAGGTCTATGCATCATCAGATTTTACTTCCAACTGTTGAAATGAAAATGAAATGAAATTTACACATTTTTGACGGGCCGTATTACATTTAGCTCTCCGGATATCATCCTTCTTGAGTCTACCCATACGGATTACCTAGTAAATATATATATATATATATATATATATATATATATATATATATATATATATATATATATATATATGGTTAATAAAGGTGAAACAT